TATAATGATTTCTGAAATATAGGAAAAAACCTATTTAAAACTCTTTCAAGGGGTGTAGCTCTTTTTAAGTATTTTTCGATACATATTAATAGGAAACTTTTGTCTTAAAATTGAATATTATATCACCTGTTTGTAGATTTGTATCAATAAAAAAGGAATAACATGTATATTTTTTAATGTTGTATAGCTTTGTTTTTACGACATACATCGAAAAATACAAGAAACGGTGGAATTTTTTTTTAATTCTCTAACAAATTTCAAATTTACAAAACTCGAAAACTGTTAGATTTAAGTGATCCTTGTCGTGTAGAATTACTCAAGAACTTTAATGTAACTATTTTTATCTGTCTCTTTTTATTGATTTTGGTGCGCGACTTTTTGAGCTCCTGTATATTTACTGTTATTATTTTTAGTCTTTTTATGACACTCATAAATTTTAGACTGAAGGAAACAGGCATGTATTTTCCTATCTAATAATTATAAAACATCTTTAAATGGTACGAATATAATAATTATTAATAAAAATGAACACCATTTATGACACATAAATTTTAACAAAATTTTATTATTGTTTTGGACCTAGAACTTGAAAAATTAACAAGAAACTGGTTTATTTTTAACCTTTGTTAACTATCAATAAAATTGTAAAAAGATAGTGTTGTTGCTATTTTCGTATTCTGAAACCATTATAATAAATTTAAGTTATATAAAAAAAACAGTTGTTTTAGTAGGTTTTGCAGTAAAAAATGCATAAAGTCTATACTAAAAACAGCAAACTCATATTATTATAATTTGAAAGAAAACTTTGTCAAACCTATACATATACAAGACTTCCCAAGTTTTAGTTTCATGACAGCCCCCATCTCTTGCAATACGATGCAAATGACAATGCTTTCATTCGACATAACAGAAAACAGTTGCGTTTCCAAAACGGATATTGTAAATTAAAAGACAAGACTCCATTCACATAATCCTCGAAGCCGCCTGTTTTACATAACACAAACGGTAGTAGTGAGAGTGAAGGGTGGCGCAAGTTACGCATAATAAAGGGTGGCAGAAACCCATTCGCCAGGGAAACACATTGTATATTACTTCCGGTGTGTAATTGGATTTGTTTTTTTCCCTGATACACACCCTCTAAAATACGTATCAATCACAAAGCGATTTTTTTAAACTTTCATTATGATTAATGGTCGATTGCGTACGTTATAAGGGCTTGAAATAAGCGAGATCATTTGCTACATTAATTTTGCAAATGTTAATAGTCATCGTTAATTTATAGGGGCTATTGTGTTAAAATATGAGTGGTGATAAAAAATTACACCTATTGAAGGCGGTGTATTATATAAGTTACTAGTTTTGAGTGGGAGGTAAAGTAATTATATTTTAAGTTTCCAACGGGTTTGCATGAAATTTGGGCGGAAATAAGACGATTTTTGTACAACAGGAAATTGTTTAATTAAGGCAAATGCAGGTTAACAACCGAGAGCCAAGTCTTAGACTTAAATAATGAGGAAGAAGTATGTGGTTTAATTGTGGAGTTATCTTTTGTAATAAAGCCATTACCTCGTCTCCGTGGAATTATTTTATAATGTAGAACATAAAACATTATTAAAACTTAGAGAAAATGTGCTCATTTTTATTTTCCCGCGTTTTCTCGTAGATATGCAAGTAACTGATTATATTATTATTTCTTTACTTTCAAAATTTTTGGTACCACTTTAATTATTTTTAAACTTAATGAAAAGTGAAAATTCAATGAATATTTTGCTACCGTTTATTAAAGTTTTTCTGCATACCTAATAATTTCTGACAAATGTGTAAAAATTAAAAACAAAATTTTGTTATAATAATTCTTATGATCACCTAATTGTGTTATATAAGTTCTTTGCTTTCGGCAGATTTTGTTTGCATACAAATTACCTTTCGGAAGGGTTCTAATGAAGCAATTTCAGATTAATAAATGCCATTAATGTGATTTTTATAAGTTTTGAATAAAATGAAACAAAGATTTTAGAGTAATTTTTTATTTTTCGGTACTCTTAATTTAAAATGCGCAGGTTCAGTACAGTTCGGAACAGTTTAAAGCTATGGTTAGAACAAATACAACATACAACATTTTTAACTATCTGTTTATAAAAGTTCTTTTAATTTATTTTAAATACAAATTTGCTGGTAAATTTTTGTAGACACAATAAGTAAAAATATCAATAGAACATTTATTGTTAGCAATAAACCAACAGTCACACAAAATATACAGCATGTCTTCGGATTGGGTTTACAAGAGGAAAAAAAATCTTTTACTCCAAAATGGAAAGGAAAAACACTTTTTGCTTACCTGAAACTAGTCAATCTGTTATTAAAACTTATTATTCTGATTCATTAGGAAGAAAAGTTAATTTTTTTCTTGATTTTAGACTTAATTTTTCTCTGCTTTTTAAGTCCTATCGCATTGGCGGTTTTATTAATTTGACAACTATATGTCACTTTGATAATTAATT